TTTTTTTTTTTTTTTTAATAAGACTCCTTCTGATATGAGAGGGTAGTTTTGTTTGGGGTTTTTTAACTCTCTGTTTACTTTTATTGACGTCTGTGCCTGATCTGTGTCTTTACTTCATCTACAGTAGTTTAAGCTTTTTTAAAAAAACATTCTCCATTTCACACTCACTTAAACTTGATGTACAAGATTTGTAGAAAAAGTTAACATCCAGATTTTATAGAAGACACTGCTGTTCGTTGTTGAAGCCTGCTTGCTTGACTCAGAATTTATTGAAAATATATTTTCAAATATTTTCAATAAAAAATTATTGAAAAGTTATAGGTAAAGTGAGTATAATAAATTGTTTTTCTTTTTAAAGGGATGGAGAAAGAAAAAGTATGAGCACTGAAAGGTATGCCTCTTTAATATTGAAAAAATTACATTAATCACTAAACCTACTTAATGCCAACTAGTGTATTCTTTTCTTAGTCTTATAATTTCATTGTGTATTTATATGTGTTAAAAAAGCATATATAACAAGCTCATTGAGTCAGATTCAAGCTTTCGTTGTTTGTTTTTTTCTTTGTCTTCAGAATACTATGGAGGTACTATTCTGTCAACTTGTGTGTTCTCTTTTCTCATTGTCTGATTCTCCTAATGCCTTCAATGCATCAAAGTCATCTTTAAGCCATAATATAGGGTGGAAATATATAAGGACATGATTTTCTTTTTCATATGTTCCAGCTGAATGTCAATATCAGTCTAGTAAGCCCCATAAGGTTTGGTACCACCAGAGCTGAGAAATTTATGGCTGGTTAGCAAGCAAACAAATAATCTGGGTAGCCTATTGTATTCTTCTGGTTTTCTTTCTTCCTTCTTTTTTCCCTAAGGCAAACGGTTTGAAACCAGAGATGTCAGTGGGCTGCTGAGATCGTGAAACTAATTTATTTGGGGGAAGAGATGGGCCTGAAATAGCATTGTCTCTATCCTGCCCCTTCCAAACTTAGGATTTTTACAGCTTCCCAGTTACTGCAGCATTGGATATCATGAGTTACTCCTTGGATAACGGCATAGGACCCAGAGTAAAATACTCATCCCATTAGTGTGGCAGCCTGCAAACATTCTTAGGAGAATGGGAATCATAATAGAGACTGATTTTTTAATACTATCAGGTAAACCTGAATGTAACTTAGAGATGTGAAATCCAGTGTAACTATAGGGACTTCACACTCGTAAATATAAAGACTGGCATGAAACAATGGATCCGTGAGACCTTTCCAAAAGCAACTGGCAGCTCTAAGTTTTGCTTCCTACTGCTCTTAAAGCCACTACTAACAGAAGGTTGCCTTTTCTCTCATGTTATTACTAAAAAGCAGATGCACAGCAGGAAAAAACCCCAGCTGTAATTCCCCTGCTAAGAAGCTCTAGTAAAGGCAGTTAGCAATGTTTTTGGCAGAAAGATAGTTTTGCCTCCTCTGAGGCTAGGCATAATTATCCTAGCTAGCATCTTTTTCTTAGCATCTGCATTATTTATTTCTGGTACTTGGCTCTGATGTTGACTTTCTAATTCTTTCTTTCTTCTGATGTTACACAGCACTGTACAAAGATTAAATACAAATATCTTGGCTGTCTCCATGAATCAGTCGGTGTTAGTATTCTCTCTTGCAAATATTTAGGCATTAATGATCTTAAATCTGATACATTTTCAAATAGTGAATGAAAAATTGAAAGCCAGATTATTGCATTATTTGAAAAGCTTTGCAAATGTTTTGGAACACATGAATGTGCACAAATGTTTCTGTATAATATTAAAGTTCATTTTTCTTTGAAGTAAGCACTCAAACCTCTGCAACCTTCTTCTGATATAGTTTTGTTTAACTGTACGAAAAATACTTTTAGATGACAGCCACTAAACAGGTTTTAGGATTCATACTGAAAAAAAGATCATATCTTTATCTTAGAACATTCAGTGAAATAAACACAGCAGAAGACCAGTACAGCTTGTGTCGAGAACTCTGCAGAGACCTTGCTCAAGAGCTGCAGAAAGAGGGACTTAAGGTATTTGTATTATTCTCTGTTTACTTGCAAAAAGACAACACCTTGCAGTCAAACCTGTTAGATGCCGTGTTAGTGTGAATGTTTTCAGCAGCATCATACTGTGCAATCTGTCTTGAGAGGTCTCCATTCTTTAATTTGCAGATGTTTAGAATTATTTAGGCAGCATTTTGATATTGTTCAGGTGGCTATCTAATAATATGTGTGGAAGAAATTGAACTAATTAACCAAGTTATTTACCATAGAAACATTTTATGCTAAAAGTGATGTTTATAAACAAATAATAGAGCTGATTGTCTATGAACTGTGCTTTGGTCAATCATGTAACACTAGTATATTTAAAATGCTGTGTTTCTCTCCCATATTCATGCAGGTTGCAGCCAATAGCCAGTAGTGTAGTTCAAGAATTTAACACATCCCAAACTTGCTGACAAGTTATTCATACCATTCAATGATATGAATGGTAGGAACAGCCCCTGCATTCCTTCTTCCCAGCTTCTTGTTTATTGTCTAGAAAGACCAGTTCATATTTTCTATGGAGATCTTTATGGTAAAGCAAGGAATAACATTCAAGACCTAAAAGAATTGTGATTAGTCCTCTTCAGTCATAAAAGATTGTCTCAAAAGATGACAGGTTGAAGGGGATATCATCAGCTAAAAAGGACAAAGGGATAAGCTTACAAAGGCATCAGCACAAAAGGAGTGCCGTCTATTTATTTGTGGATGGATGCACTAAATCACACAAATTATTTGGAAGGTGTTGCCAGGGGAATATCTGTACCAAACAGGGATGCCATGTGTGACTCTGATAGCACCATGCATGAGGAAGGAAGTTTTCAGTTAATGCTTAATTGGATATCACTTGAGCATCCTTAGTAGTTTCCCCAGCAACATTAAGATATCTGTCACTGAAAGTTTCCAAGTGAGGAAATAATTTTTTTGTAGACAGGGTAGAAGTTGTGACTGTAGCCCCAATATGAAATCTGTTGAACATGCACTGGTGGCAAGTGGTCTGCTGGGAACCATAGTCAAGTGACCCAGTTCAGAGAATTCAACTTAGGCAGCAGTTTAGGAGCAAGTGCAGAATCTTGCCCCTTGCTGTACACAGATAAGCGCACAGTCTTGACTTTAGGGCCCTTACATAGGTGCTACATAATAATTGTTTCTGTGCTGTGTGTGGCATGCTTTACTTTTTTTTTTTTTTTTTGTCCCTGTAGGGTAAAACTGTTACCTTGAAGCTAAAGAATGTGAATTTTGAAGTAAAAACAAGAGCTTCAACTGTGCGGTCTTATGTTTCTACTGAGGAGGAGATATTTGGTGTTGCAAAGGACTTGTTAGGAACAGAAATTGATAGTGTTGCTCCTCACCCTTTACGAATAAGACTTATGGGTAAAATATTTCAAACTCATTTTTCCTTTTCAGAGTTAGATCTTTTAGTGTATCAAAGTAATAGACTATACTCTGAAGTAATTGGTAATAAATGTATTTATCCTTTCTCTGTTACCCTGCTAGTTTTTGCAAAATGAAACAGGTCTAGAGTGCTGAATGGTGACTCAGGGATGTTTTACTAACTGAGGTTGTACCTTTTGTACCACCTGTTAGCCCTAGAACAACATACACATCAGCGTGAATCTTAACGCATTGCAGTGCTTAATTCTGCTGCCTTAAAAGAGTTTTTAAATCTGGTTTGAACAACAGCAACAGGAAGTTTCTGTCTATAACATCTTTTAGAAACAAATGCTTTAAATAGAAGTGCTTATAGATTTGAAGATGCTATGTTCTGCAAGAAATTTGACAATTTGTGTCAAAACTAAACTTTGTGTTTTGATTCTAAGGCCTGTGTGTTTCAGGTGCTTATACATTCTGCTTGAACCATTCAGGGATATATAAAACTTATTTGTCTATGGTATTCGAATACACTGAAGAAAAAAATACCTTTGGTGGGGAAACTTCATGCAAAATGTTTTCGGACTGAATTCTGTGTAACTATTAAGTTTATAGCCTCATGTTGTGGTGCAATCAGTTAAAACTTCCTGGGTACTAAAATTAATAATATGATTGAGCAAGTGTTAGGGCCTAATAAAATTGTATAGACCTTGTGAACTATTGTTAACATTTGCAGGTAGTATAACCTCTGTTTAGAGATGAAATACACTTCTATTAAGTGGATGTATACCTCAAAATATGTTAATTATTATCAAGTTTTCATAAAATTGGTATTATAAGTTTGTTTTTCATCATTAGGTGTACGAGTATCAGGATTTCTAAGTGAAGAAGAGAAGAAGTATCAACAAAAAAGCATTACAAGTTTCTTAAAATCAGGAAAGGAAATTGGTTTTCTTAGGCTTCAGCCAGGGAAGTCCAACCAAGAATATTTTACAAAAAATTCAGAAGCATCTCCCAGAAGGAGTTTTTTTGATAGAAAGCGTGCTGCAAGGCAACTAAATGGTGGGAATCATTCTCCAAATGAAACTGCAGGTAAACAGCTTATTCATGACAGGAAATCATCAGCAAGTTTTGTGGAAGAAACGAAGAAGGTCACAGAATTACAAAGTTCTAATATGTATAAGATCTTCACCTGCCCTGTTTGCTTTGAGGAGCAGAGAAGCAATAATTTGGAAGAGCTTAATAGGCATATTGATGAGTGCCTCAATGGGAGGCTTGTTAAAGATACAGTAGAAATATCCAGGAATGACAATTCAAGAGAAAATACACTTAACTTTCTTCCACGGTTTAAAAACGAAAATGTTGATGAATATAAAAAAAATGAAACAGATCAATTAGCTGGAACAGACCAGTCTGTAAGTATATCTGACAACTCTAGTAGCAATAGCATAGAAAAATTCACTCAGATAATATCTGATAAACCTCACAGAGAACGACAGCCCAGCAATCTCAGTGATATTGCTAGAAACGTGTGTCTGAAACACTGTCTCTTCTCCAAAAGAATTCCACAAGACAATGAAGACCATTTTGAGAAGACTGAACATACAGAAGAAACTACTTCATCCTGTTTCTTTGAAGCCAAAGACAGTGTTCTTATTTGTCCAGTTTGTAATTCAGAACAGAAAACCACCAGTCTTGTGTCATTTAACAGACACGTGGATGTCTGCTTAAATAAAGGCCTTATCCAGGAGCTGACAGAAAAAAAAGATTATCCTACTGAGACTCATAATATGGAAAACTCAAACAACGTTGGTGAGTATGCGTATTAGGACATATTTGATTATTCAAATTATTTGCTTGTACAGTTAAAATAATTTGGTAATGGTATAATTTGAACTTTTGGGGCTTTGAGACTTTTGCAAGAAGCTCATTTGAGTAAGGCCTGTGTAAGAGTGAATATTTTTATTTTAAAAAGAAATCCGTTCTCACGACAGACTAGAGTTATGAATGTAGTGGTAGTTACACAGTGCATTCTCAATGGTGACATAGGAATTACTGCTCATTTCTGTAAATTGCATGTTTGATATGCCCCAGCCATGTTCAGAAGGGTGTTTGTAAGGCTACTGAGATTTAAGTGAAAAATCAATGAAAACATCTTCAACCTGGATTGCTTCAGAGGTTCTGTTGACAGAAAAGTTCTGTTATGTAATGTGCTGGCAAAAACAGAGAAGTGGTGAACTAAAGCATAAAGGCAGGAACTTGCAAGCCTGTTTTACATCTAATAAAATATGTTACATGACTGCACCTGTAACATGCCAAACCAATAGCGTATTTACTCAAATAGTTTCTCTCTTTATGAAGAGTTGATCTTTACCCAGACTAGAGGACATGTGCAGGTACTTAAGTATCTGCTTAAAGTACCTTGTCCCTAATCTAACTTGGGACCCTTATAAGAGGAAATTAAAGTGCTAGCATGTTAGAATTATCAGAACACAAGACTTACAATATGAATCTTTTACACAGAAAATTTTATAACTTGTATTGTTGTTACATGTGCAAACAGGCTTTGTTTTAAGTGAAAAACTTCCTGTTAGCGAAGATATTTTTTTACCTGCAGGATAAAAAAATTAAAAATATAGTTTTTAACAACCACCTTGAAAATCAAGTACGTATGCTGAAATATTTCTGAAAACTACAGATTTTGAACAAGGTTCAAATTCACCCCTTAGGATTCAACAAAATAAAGGCTTTTTGTTTTTCTCCTTTAAAAGTGCAAACATAAACTACAGTGTTCAAACTGCAGATAATAAAATGTTATCTTCTCCTTGAGACAAATTAAATAAGGTTATGTTAAAAAAAAAAAAAAAAAAGGAAAGAAAAGCTTTACCCTAAACTCTTATTTTAAAATTTCTGCTGTAATGTAATATCTGAGGCTTGCTTTCTTTATTGAAGTAATTAATTTTGGTTGTTTCCAATAACTTTTCAGGAGGTTTAAGCAGAGGACAGCAATGCAGAAATCCATCACAAGGAACAAAAAGGTAAGGGTTTTCTGGAAACCTGAGTACACCACTCATTTTAAAATAATAAAATTTAGAAAAATTACTCAGTGTTGTAATTGTGTAGGTATGGATTTTATATTGGATTGTATATTTCAACCTCTTACTGTTTTGTGGGTTTTTTTTTTCTTTCTTTCTTTCTTTAACTTTAGGTCTGGACTAGCAGCTTTGCAGTCAGTATCAAAAAAGGCCAAGTCAAGCAATTCCAAGCATACAATTGAAATGTTTTTTAAATGACTGTGTAGCAACATATACTATATGAAGTATTTCATAGTGTTTTATGACTACAAATTAATTTAGCATTGATGGTAGGCTGGATTTAGGTGCCTGTCACTTTGGAGTGATTGCATACCTGTGTAAAAAGAACATGATGTTTAAGGTAGAAGAAGAGGTACAACTGAGGTAATTTTTTTTTTTTTGGAGAATAATACTTTTGTTCTGGTTGTTTCCAAGAATCAAAATTAGCTAGCACCTTGACTTTGTTTATATTGAACATGTAGAACTTTGTTAGAGTCGCGACCAGCCTCATGAATTCTCTCTGCTGTTCAGCAAACAGAACAGGAAGATTAGAGCTGCCATTGAGCAAGGCTGTAGGGCAAGCTCCCTAGAAAGCAGGAATCATTAGCTAGGGTGCCATGCTCTGGTTACTGAAGGCCTTCTTCCCACAGCTGACCTGCTGTCTTCTCTGTGTTGGTTGTATTGGCCATGGTAGCCATAGTAGCTCAGGCTGACACTTCCTTGGACAATTCAACGCCAAATTTAATTGTGGTATTAGCTGTGTTGCTTGATAACAGTTTACAAACATCTTGTCTTCTCAGTGGAGATAAAAATTCGTTGGTCTCACGTTTTCAAAGGAAGAGATCAAGAATTTAGAGCACAGTCAAGCTTTCATTGTTGTCACTGAAATTATTCCAGTAAGAGCTGATGGACCAGCCCTGAAGGACTCATTGTGATGAGATACAGGAGGACTTCCACTGATGTAAAGAAATGTTAATACACCTGTTGATGAGAGAAGGATTCCTCCAGGTTAGTCAGGCAAATGCTGTTTCATCTTTGGCCTTTCCAAAGGGACTGAGAACTTCAGTTTTCTTCACAATTGTCAAATTGTTATTGGTCAGTAGCACTAAATTTAATTTAAATTAAAGGTCTCATGGTGCAATAATAATATGAATGATGTGCAAATATGCAAGATACTGAACCTTTTCATTGTTTACCTATCTTTCTCTTTAAAATTATTTTGTATTCCTGAATAAACAGTATTTTATGAGTGCATATGTAAAAGGAGGAAGTTGTAAAGTGCAAGTATTTAGAGTACTCTGTTTAGATTTTTTATTTTCACATCAAATTGCTTAAATGTAGATGTTTTATTAAAATTAAATATTTATTGTCAGGCAGATAATTTATGATGACTGCATGTCATGGTTTTGAACCCTTGGCTACCAGCCAAACACCACAACAACTGCTCGCTCACCCTCAGCTGTATCCCCTCCCTTGGGAAGGGGGAGAGAATTAGAGGGGTAAAGGGAAAAAAGACTCGTGGGTTGAGATAAGAACAATGTAATAACTAAGCTACAATAATATTGAAAATAATAATGATAGTAATATATGCACATATACAAATGAGTGATACACAGTGATACTGCTCACCACCTGATGACCAGGTCTCAGCCCATTCCTGGCGAACAATCCTGGAGTAGGAAAAGTCCCAAAACCTCAATCCCGGAACGGAGATAAGAGCCCGAGTGTCTGAGAGACTGAGAAGACCCTGAGAGAGGGACGACCCAGAGCAAGAGACTGATCTGGGACAAGAGGTGGTGATCTGGAGCAAGGGAGAGTACTTCCGGACAGATCCATATAATGGGCATGATGTGCATGAATATGCCATTGACCAATTTGGGTCTCAATCCTAAACCTAAGGTCAAATCCAAGGCTACTAATTGGGGCTGTGCTCCCCCTCAGCTTCTCCTGCACCTGCAGATGCTGGCACAGCAGAGAAGCTGAAAGTCCTTGGCTGTCCTGGCAGCAACGATCAACATCAGTATGTTATCAACCTTCTTCTTGGCACAAATTCAAACCAGCCTCTCACTAGCCACTATGAAGAAAGTTAACTCTGTCTCAGCTGAAACCAGGCTACTCTGCAACAATGTAAAACCCTGTATGAAATACAGACTGCTTTTTAATTGCAAATTCTTTAAAAGAAGTGGCTGCTAAAGAAGCAATCTGTTCAGTTGTTTAATTGTATTAGAAGTACTTTGGGGTCTGTTTGTTTTTTAAACAAGTGTGTACCTGGTATCTTTGAGATGCCCAGACTAGGTCCAGAACATGCTTTTTTGTTTCCAAACTTGCTAGAATTATTTCACCATCTCTACTTGCTCATCTGTGTTTTTTTGACACTTGCTACTGTACCTAACAATGTCGTTTGAGTTCATGTCAGTGCTCCTGTGTCTGCTTTGGACCAGCTGGATCAGCTGGACTAGTTCAGACTATTTAAGCTGACTCAGTTAATTTTTTCTAAACCAGGTCAGTGAGCATTCAGCATGAGCCGTTCTGTTGAACAAGGTGGGAGCTGGTGACTTTTGGTAGGAAAGACATAAAAGCAACTGAGGGAACAACGACTTAAGCTACCACTGCTATTTAGAAAGTGCACACTTGTCCTTTTATTAGTTTGTATCTGTCTCACTCAATAAAGTGTACATTCTAAGTACTGCCTTGTCATTTTTTGTGTTTCTTTAAAATGCGTATTTTTACATATGCATTACTTAGCAAAAAGTAAACTAGTGTAAGTGCTTGGACAAATTAATTAGTTTGACTTAGCCTCAGAAGTTGTCTTACCATCTGTTTAAAAAAAAAAAGTGTCATAGAGTATCATGAAGTTAAAGTTGTGGAGTGCGTTAATGTGGAAATAAAACTCAGTACGATTCTAAAGTCAGAAATGTCTGTCTTTTGAGATGTATGTGAAAATGTACCTTTTGGAAAGGTGATTCTGTCAAGCACAGAAAGTACTTGATGACGTTATTTCAGTGTTTTCCGTGTAAATTATTTACTGCCATGCAAAACAGAAGCTTTTCTGTTCCTTATACTTTCTTATACCACATTTATTTCTGTTTTTGTCTGAAGAAGGCCCTCAGTACGTGATTAAGTACTGTCATAAAATTTAGTGATATGATTTTTTTGTCTCAGTTCTTGTGGAGAAGATTGTGTAAGGAATGTTTCTGGTTTGCATTTTTCTCAGTGTAGGTGTGTGTTATATAATTGACCTTAACTTAAAATCTCTTTTCATTAGCAACTGGAAATTTATTTATAGCTGTGTTTAACTTAATGTATATATTATTTCCTGTGTGTGAGACATTCCACATTTGCTATATCCACCGTGAATAATCCAGGTTGGCAGCAGATGAAAGCTTCTGTGTAGTGTAGATATCTCTCTTTTTTAAGGTAGATATATGCACTTCATCGTGAATTCCTCTTTTAGTTATGAAGGTCAGAGAAAAAGATTACATTTCTATGATGGTAATGTTCTCTTCACCACTTCTGAAGAAAGGAATGCAGACAGCACACGCATGAACACAAAGCATTTATCTGTAAGGAGGATGCTTGGCGTAAGTGGGACAGCGATAGAGATACCCCCCTAAGAAGAATATTTGCTTGTAAATCCTCGATAACCAAAAACTTAGGCTGTAGAATAGCATTTTCCTGTTGAGTCTATTTACTGGTATCTATAGTGATATCTTCATTTACTTTTGAGTTTTGATATATCTTGCCTACGAATGTCTTACTGTGGTTGGATATCATGGTGACCAATTTTGTTTATTAGTTATCTGGCTTGGGTGTCTCAAAAACTTTATTTCTATAAATCAACTTTCCTGTTGCGAATATAGTAATACTTTGGCTTATGCTGGTTTTGTTCCCAGAGTTGCTGAAGTTCTACTTTGAAGTGTCAGTTACAGACAAGAGCATCAGCCTGGCAGAGTTGGGCTTGAATTGCTGTGCCTGTAGCTTGATCCGTGTTGCATTTTGGGGATGGTTTATCACATCCCTGTCTCTCTCTCACATTGTGGTATGCAGATCCAAGCAGAAGGCTGGAGCCATTGAGTCATACTGTCTACAAGTGAGCCTAGGGAGCAGCCTGCAGGTGCCTGTCTTTGTTGGCCAGATGGTGTTCTGGGGATCTTGGTCGTGTCTTTTCTGATTGCTCTTTGTATGTGTGAGCACCTGTTGAGATTCAGCCTCTCTATTTCATTGTTCTAGTTACTACTCATAAGCAAAGCCAAGTGGCAAAAGGTAGCTGTAAACATAGGGTATGAAGGGAGGAACTGTGCTGCAATTGCATAGGCTAATAATTCATGCACCACAGGATTCAGAATCCCATGGAGTTTCATACTTTTGGACTGGACTTTGACAAAAGCAAATGAAAGTATTGTCTACCTGAAAATGAACAGTCATCTGATTGGATCAATCCTGTTCCAGTCAATATGCACATGCATATTTCTGCCCAAATTTACGGCAGAAGCACCTCAGTCTCTCGCATCCCAAGGGTGTGTCAAGTGTGTAGGGACAGTTACTCTCTCCAATCTGGTAAACACAGGTTGACAGCAGTGAGAATAACTCCCAAGAGGAATTTTCTCCCCAGCTGGCCTTAAACCCACAGGGATAGCTCTGTGAGTACCCTGCAATTTAGTAACAAACCCACCTGGCTGCAAGGGTCCATGCAAGCTGCAATGCCTCTGTGTGTCTGTACATGTGCACTCGTGGCATTGCTTTTCAAGAGTGCCTCGTTTGTGGGATGATTTGGGAAGCACTTCAGGAGCAAACAGGACTTCCTTTTTGTCTTGTGTGTGTACTTGTAGGCGCAAATTGCTATTTGCACGTAAGGACAGCTGCTAGAGAAGACCTGGGGGATATTGTGCAGGGATGACCCTGTTCGGTGCCTAGCAAGTATCGAGAAGTTCTGTCTATTTAGTGCCTGTTTTATTTTAAAACAAACTTCTAAATCTGCTCTGCACCTCTCGAGACAGTGTGTCCAAGCGCCGGGGTGCTGCCGCAGTGCCGGGGTGTGTTGGGTCTGGCTGGGTGTGCTCAAGTCATCTCAGCCCCGGGAACCGGTTTGTCGGGGCCAGAGCAGAGCACCTCCCTCCTAGCCTGGGGCTCCTTCCCTGGGGTGAGGAGGAAGAGGAGACAGGGC